GGGGGGGGGGGGGGGGATCTGGGGATGCCACAACAGGCATGGGGAGAGGACATCCACATCGGGAGGTACGACCTCCTGAGCATGGATGAGCTGAAGATGGGACCGCGAGAGCGCATCAAGCGGGCCACCGCGCTGTCGACCCGAGGGCTACTCGGCAAGGTCTTTCCACCGTCACCAGGCGGGGAGACCACTATGACGGTCATGGACATGGGCTCCGCGCATGGCAGCACGGCGAGGACGGCGGCCAAGGAGCACGGGTGCAACGTAAGTAGTCGTCCCTGACACTACTACCGACGGTAATAGACGAATGGGACGCTTGGAAAATCCCATTCAACACCGAAACTGATTTTCTTTGAGGTTTAGAAGTCAGGGCGGGTGTCGTGCGAAGTACAACCCAGCCTCGCTTACGCCCTCGAGGCGTGTGTGTGTGTGTCTTTAGAATTGGCATGAACCGCGCTAGTTGGCTGACCATACGCGAACGAAGACGCTTTATGGTCAAAGGGTTTTACCGACAAGGGAGGCGCAGGAGTTGGACGACATGTCCTGGTCCGTGCCTGTACGTGTGTTTTGAATTGGCATCGACCGCACTAACCCACTAACCATTGAACATACGGCAGTCTGATTGCGGTTGAATAGAAATTCTTCAAATGGTCATGATCTGGCACCCCGCGAGGGGGGGGCATGGGGGAGTGTGTGCGTACATATCAACGCTGCTTTCGTTATTTTCGGAGACGCATTCTGATTTTCAAGCTTTGACAGAACCCCGAAGGGGCTCTTGGCCTCGAGTCACGCCTTGCTATTCCGAATTCATGCCAAACTGTGGTAGCGATGACCTAGGTACCCCGTTTGTGTTTCGGCAGTGGTAGTTGTAAAGCAGGAACCTCAGGCGAAGATGATCTACTGCAATGCGCACAGGTGTCGAATAAATAATCGTGCCCTCTATAAAGCAGGTGGTGTGCATCGACATTTCTCGTGGGTTCAACACCGTCAACGCTAAGCTCTCAGCCGCCGCGGGGTTGTCCGACAAGATCATCATCCCCGGAGAGAGGTGCGGCTCAATATCTGCAAAGGAGGAGGGGGGGCGGGGTCCTTTTCATGTTATTTCGGGTCCACTGCCTTCCTTGGTTGAGAACACTTCATAGTTCAACTTCAAGCCGCTCACACCCATCATCCTTCATTCTCTTTCTCTCCCCCCTCTCTTATCTACTATCTCTATCTCCATCTTTGTGCTCCACGCCATGCTACCCTGCCCGGAGAAACCGGATGACGTCCTCACTCCCAGCTTGGTACCGGTACAGCAGTATGAGCCCCATGGCCAATCGACCACGGCATCCATGACCCTGAGCCCCCGTCATCCTCCACCTCCTTGCTTGCTGTGTGCGCTGCCTGACTCATGCACGCCGTGGGTGGTGGGTGTGCGCATGATTTGGGGCATACGGCCACAGGTCGTACTTCGACACCGAGATGCCAGCCGCCAGCATGGACGCCGTGCTTTCCCAGGACGCCTTCGGGCACGCCAGCACGGAGCACCACAGGG